TTTTTTGAGGGGGGGTATTATTGTTGTTTTTTGCTTACTATTAATTTTTATGATAAATTAGTCAGTTTTTATACACTTTAGATTAGTTTTTTGTTGTTGTTAATGTTTTTTCTTTAAGCTTATTGTATTGAATATTAGGGATTAGACTATCATTTAATAAATCAGTATGCTAAAAGGAATGAGAGGGGAGTAGAAAAGAAGGGACAAGAAACTAGAATGGGTTTGTTGCGGTTATTGAAGGCATTTTTATGAAATTTTTGAACCGTATTAAAAGCAGTATTTGTATTCTGCTGTTGTTGTTGGATTTAGTAGCCATTTTATTTGAAATTCAATGATCTGGAATTTTTTTTCAATTTTTTCGAGACACTATCCTAACTCATTTAATTCTTTTTGATTGTGAGCTTTCTGGTTTTTTTTAAGCATTTATGTCACAGCCATTAAAACATCTCGGTGAGCTAATTTTTTCTCCTTTTTTTTTTAGCATAATAAATTACATTTTTTTAAATACGATTCTCGGCAATAACTGAATTGAACTGAAAAAAAAAAAAAAGAACACAAATCTTTTAAGTGAACTTAATCAGCACCAATCTTTTTCTTGCGGTTTTTTTTACACCTCAGCAGTTTTTGTTGACACTGTTAGCGGATTTCTGCGGATTTTCTTTTGTTGAGAGAGGAGGAACAAAAAAAAAAAGGAAGAACAGAAAATTTTTTTATTCAATTAAGCCTTTTTTTAATCTTTTTGATAACTGAAGCGGAACTGAAAAATATTTCTTCGTTTTGTCAAAGTTTTTAAAGTAGTTTAGTAGTTGTTTTGTTGTTGTTAATCATATCTGAACATATGTCAATGGCTGTCGTAACTTTTAAAAATTATCCTTAAGTCATTTCTCTTCCTTTTTTTTTTTTTTTTGTTTTTTGTTTTTCAGTATTTTTTTCCTTTTGAAAGTTATCTTTACACTAAAGCAATTTGAAATATGAATGAAATTTTTTTTGGCGGAAAAATAAATAAATTCGATGGTCGGTGGAAAAAAACTTCAAAAACAGTGATCAAGAATTTTTGAGGTGGAATCAAAGAAAAATTGAGTGGTGATGACAAACAATATTTATGGAAAACAGAAATGTTTTTATATTTATATCTGTATTGTTTTAGTTTTTTATTTTTTATTCTTTTTTTCTTGATATTATACGGAATGTCAGACAAGAGGAATAAAATGAAAGTAAGAAAGAAAGGAGTGGAAAAAAAATTAATATCTTTAAAAAAAAAAATTGGATTTAAAGTGGAAAGCAGAAAAGCGATTTGTTTTGGTTTGTTAAAGAAGAAGGGAGGGTAGAGGAGAGGAGGAGGGTTGGGGGTGGCAAAAATCTGAACGTGGCTTATTTGATTACTGTTGATAGCCAGAAGAGCTGGAACGATGTTCAAGTGGAAGCTGGAAAGCTAGTGTTTTTTAGAAAAACTTCAGTCTGTATCTGCCTATGTATTTAAAGTCTCCGTCTATGTCTGCCTGCATATCTATTTGTTTCAATGTTTTTGTAGATCAGAAACGGAGGACTTATGATGATGATGACGATGACGATGATAGTGTTGCTGATGCTGCTAATGATGATGCTGATGATGCTGATGATGCTGATGTTGATGATGATGATGATGATGATGATGATGATGAGTCGACAGCCAAGCAGGCCGAAAGTATACATTTCACTGTAGTTATTGTTGCAGAAAAAAACTTCTTTTCTGCTATGTATATAGTGTTCTGGACAGATTGAAAACTGGTAATTTTCTCTCAGAACTCTCCAAGTTTTACTTCATATTTCTTCAAAAGGTAATTGGTCATTAAT